CTGAGAAGTTTCAATTTAGATAATTTGAATCATATAAAATACTCAAATCACATTCTCTGAGAATGTATGCATTGAAAGAATCAGAGAAACAGATCTTACACAACTTAATCAATGATTCATGACTTATAAAAGTAAAGATGTAAGATCTGAGTGAATTATAATTATCTGCAGCACTATTGTCAGTGTTGAAAAAGAAGAGACTTATAATTGAAAAGCCTCATGAAGTAAGAGAAATCATAGACACTTATGAATCAGATGATCTCACTTATTCTGATCTTTTCATAATTATAAGAAAAGAATGAAAATCATTGAAGAAATCAGATAAATATCATACTTTAATAAGTGATGAGACTGTAGCTGATTGTATAATAACACACTGCAGACAGCAGGTGCAACACAGTAAAAAGTGATCTTAAAGTGACAGACTTGCATGTGAGTCAGATCACAGAAGAAAAAGAAATTCAGAGTTGAATTTAACTGTTTATATCAGTTCAATTACAGAGATCACAGAGAATGAACTATCTGAAACATCTGCAGATATATGAGACCAAGTCATCTCAATCTCTGAGAATGCTTAGAGATTGAGTGAGATTAGTTTTAATAAGCTGTTCACTGTAGTGATCTGAGTAGATGAAGAGAGACAGTATAATGCATGAGACAGAATCACAAAAGATGAAAGCTGCTGAATCTAGTCACTGAACACAGTACTATATAGAGATTGTGTAAGAGTAGTGACTAGCAGATAAAGAAAAAGTGTAAGAAAAGAGATAATGAATTGATTATCAATTGTAAGAGTTGACTGTAAAAGACAAATGTTATCATATATACTTCATTCATTTTCATATATCACATGTTTAATCTATTTCCAACATCACATTATCTGAAAAACATTAAAAACAAAGAAAATCTCAAAACTCAAGATCTGTAAGAAATTTGAGAGCTGCAAGCTGCTCTTGCAACAACACTGTACACATCTCTGATTTCTCTACCACTCTGTGTATGACATTAATGTCATTTATCACAAGATTGACTGGAATACTAATATAGAAATGTGTATGTGTACATGTAGAGAAATTGAAGAAGAGTGTGAAACTTGCAGAATCAGAAGTTAAGAGAGAGAAGATAAAGACAGAAGAAATGAAAGAGAGAGACACAGAATCAGATGAATGATGAGAGTCATCTGAGGCTGAATGCTTATAATTCAGTGTGCACACAGTCTTCTCTGTAGAAAAGAAAGAGAAAGTGATGAGAGAAGCTTGAGAGCAGAAGAAGATAGTCTCAGCAGTGTTATCATCTTCAATTAGAATGATCTCTGACACTGAAGCAACTAAGAATCATTGTTAGTGTATGAAAATTGCAAAATCAGAGATAAGAACAGTTACTGAATAAACACTCACTGGTCTTAGAGTTGTACATGTAATTACAACATGCATGAGGCTTCTCAGAAAGAGAGAGAGAGACACAGAGAAATGCAGAAAGCAGAATACAGTGTGCAAACAGCTCATTCTCATGATAACATCTCAGACAAGATGTATGAGCCTCACATCTGTGAGTGTAAAAGAGTATAATATTCATGTTCCTGTTTCTGAAAACATGAATATCTTTCATCTACATCATGAAGTCAGATGACAGATGTCAGAGAATAGACTGATATAAATCTATCATTCTAAAGAAATTCATCATAGTAGATATCTTTACAATATTGAACTTTACAGTTGTGAAAAGCTTCTTGATATCTGTGAATATCATGACTTCATGCACAGTAAAACTCATAATGATTTTCTCTAAGAACAGAAAAATCAGTATCAGAAAGAAAAGATGAAAAAGAAAAAGACTTATAATCTTAATACTGTTAAGAGAGAAAGTGATTCTCTGAGATGAATAAATAATTGTCTTATCATGAATATTTAAAATGAATATAATAATCAGTGTCTGTGACTGAGCTTCAGATTATTGTATTGTACACAGTCTTTATATAATAAATTGTTCTGAGAGTCAGTAAGAAGAGTGAGAGTATACACACTGAAAAATGTGATTTATTAAGTCTATACAACATCTTCTTGAAACAGGGAGAGCTGATAATGAAAGCAGAGACAGTAAAATCAGAAGTAGTGAAAGTGAGAGTCACAGGAACAGAAGTAGCAGAAGTGGGAGAATCAGACACAGAGATAGATGTAGAAGATTGAAGAGAAGCAGCAGAGAAAGAAACAGAGAAGAAAGAGAGAGACACAGAAGACTCAGCTACATATAACATGAATAATTTCTTCATTATCATGTTCTTCAAGTTCTCAATCAATGATTCAATATTGAGTTCACTATCATTGACAGATGTGAATCTGTCAACATGTGAGAATTCTATATAAATTAAAACAATATATCAGCATCTGTGTTCATATAAAATTATGTCAGAAAACACAATCAGAAACACACAGAGAAGGAAACAGTTAAGAATATATAAGAAGATGAAGAAGATATGTTATTTATAATAGTACATTCTAGTGATTATTAGAAGATAAACAAGTTCTGATCATGTTTCATAATATATTACACTTACTACTAACAAACTGCTCAGTATGAGTACTATGATGACACTTGTTATAAGAATGAGAGATCATTGTCAGAAACACATACAATGTAATAGATGAACAGATGAAAAGAGTTGAACAGAAGAAGAAATAGAAATCTTGAATAAGATAGTAATATTTGATAATAATAATGATGAAGAAGATGATTAAAGAATGAGAAAAGTTAGTGAATAAGTAATGTAATATAGTGAAGATTTCTTTATGAGAATATATATAGAATGCTAGCTGAATCAGGAATAGATTACAAGATTGTGAATGCTAGTGACATGCTAATCCGCATGAAGCTAGGACAGATGTCATGATCACATGAGTGTGACTGAATCTGGTGAGAGAGAATGTGGTTCAGAAGAATGTATAATGATTTGAAAGAACATATGACTGTCAGATAATAACATGACCGCTTCTGAACTTGCTTACAAGTGTAAAGGGGCCATAGCGGCCGCTAATTAATTTAGCATACAATATATAAGAAGCCGGTGTACGCCTGTAATTGTACACTGACTTAACCAACCTTTGAATCACACTGAGCTGTTAAGTATTTCTTGAGAAAGATAGACCTGTGAATTCAAATACTGATTCTGATAATATTCTTAGAAAATTGTATTAAGTGATTTATAATAACTGACTTAAGAAGAGTTCTAGAGAAGAGATCTATGTCTCTATCATCACTGATACTGTCAATTGTATTCTTTTTATAATAGCAGTACTACACAGTTAAACACTCTGTTAAGTAAATATAGTAATAGTATATCTGTATAAGCATCTCACTAAGAAGATCTATATAAGATAACTCACTGAATTTGAGACAGGTTTGCTGAAAACACTTGTCTGTGTAATTAAGAGTAGTTTATACAGTCTGAACTCTGCAGTGAAGATCTGATATAATTACTTAACAGCTCTGTTAAGTGATCTTGAATTTACAGTTAGTACTCATGATTCAGTACTCTGATATCATACATTCAGATATCATCTCTATATAATAATCTATATTGATAATCTTAATATCATATTCAAAGTTTCTGAGAATGCTGATTAATTAGTGAGTATACTCAGTAAGAAATTGAAAGTCAAGAATCTATATCAGTTAATTAAGTATTTGAGTATGAAGATTAATTATTCAGACAAGAAAATTAATTTAATACATTATCAATATATTAAATATCTTATTAAAGATTTCTATCTTGATAATACAGCTGTTATCAGAATATTAATAAAGAATGAATTCTGTATTAATAATTTCTCTATATCTGAGAAAGAGACTGATTTCATAATTTAATAATATCAATATAATGTGAATTGCTTGCAATATCTTACAGTTAAAATATATTCTGATATTACTCATACTGTCTTACTACTTACTCAATGAAATATTAATTTAATATCTTAATATTGAAAGGCTCTGTTACATATTATATATTATTTGAAAGAGATCATGAATCTGAGTATTTTCTACAGATGTAATCTGTATGAGAGATTCATTTCTATCATTTCTACTGATTTCTCTATTATTTCTGATTTCTCTGATAATTTCTATCTACTCTTCAGCTACTCAGATTTCAATTGAGTCAGTCTCTTGAATAATAATAGGAAATTAACATCTGACTACATTTTTAAGCTTACAGATAGCCTGATTTCATGATATTCAGTGAAGTAATCTTATGTATCTCTAAGTTTCAATGAGACTGAATATATGACTCTTAGTGAGGCAGTTTGTAAGACAACATGAATCTGAAATCTTATAATTGAGCTTGACTTCATCACTACATCTTCAATACAGATTCTCACTGATAATAAGAGTATTATAGATCTCATAAAGATGACAGTTATTATGATCTGAAGTAAGCACATTGACACATGTTTTTATTTTTTATGTTGACAGTTGAATCAGAGAGTTATTAATTTAGAATATATTCTTATCACTCAGATAATAATGAATGAACTCACTAAATCTTTAAACACTGTGATATTTGTACAATTCATAATTTTGCTAGGTCTTACAGATGTAAAAGTTGAGAATGTTTAATTTTACATTTGTATTTGATTTTGACAGACTATCTTGATGATTTGAGTGTTTTTGTATGTGATTCTTGTTATCTTGAGAGGGGGTGTTGGCTGTTACAGCCATTGCGGTTAGCGATCCCACTAGATCACGTGACCCACCACTATATTATGTTCTTGTAGATAGATCTATCAATACAACCTTCAACTATCCTACAGTAATCACCAACATATTGTCAGGTCACGTGATCTGGCTTACTAATCCTTCCACCATATAACTTTCCACAAGCTAGCAACCTTTCAATCACACAAGCTTTACACCTTCCACAATTATAATGTGGCACATACTTTGAAGCAGCTCCCTATACGACGCTCTCAACAACACTTGGAAGAAAGAAGACGGAAGGAGGTACGTATGTTCAACCACATGCCTAGGATGGATGGGAGGACTTTTGGTCAGACCATACCTATTTCAATGTCCGGCGAGGAACAAAACTCCACGAGCATACTATCGAACTATCGATTGCATAGGACTCCTGAATCATGTACTGTACGTAGGTATATATACCCATATTCTGGCGAAACCTAGTGATGGGACGTGACATATCAATTTTTCCCATCTTTCAAAATGTCTTGCAATGAGAGAAGCCATGAGGTGAATTAATGCGAATTGGCAGATAGGCAGGCACCTCTACGCAATTCTTCCCACCGTCCTATCCTCCCTTGAGGAATGATTCCTATACGATAACAGAGGCCATTTGAAAAGCTTTTCTCGATTTAGGTGGTGCTCAAGAGGATGAGGCAAAGAGAGCAGCGTTGAAATTTACTTTAAAAGTTCCATTGTCCCTTCCTATTATTGCTGGGATGGTTCATTTCGTTTACGTCTGCATATATACACATATAGCCATCACTCTACCGGCATTGACTGTATCGTGAACTTAGCCGCTGCTGCCAACAAAAACTCTTTCCGCCCAATCTTACAACTTGGCTTTCGTTGTTGCAGGGCAAGGGCAGGAAGTTACTGAGTTGACCCTGGCTTTCACGTCCTCATGCAGCTGAGAGCGGTTAAAGGCTTGGTTGGACGGGGGGACGTCGAGGGCCGGGTTCTTCTCGAAAAACCCGTCTGGTTTAAGCATGATGCTGATCCTTTCGACCGGCATGATGGGGAAGTCTTCTGGGCGTGGGTTGTGGGTAAGGCCGAACGCTGTGTGTGGTTTTACAACAGTTAGCCATGATAGGATCTAGTGCATTTTTATTTCACAACACTCATCAAATATGATCACAAACAACGTCCCTGCCCGGGGGGTGGAAAGGGGAGGGGTGAACTGACAATGCCACAATACTACGTCCGTGTTTTCAGTGTCATCATTCCTCCTCGTCCACTCTTCGACGCCAGAACTCTTCTTGCTTTGGTTCGTGAACTCGCCGGCAGCATAGAGCTCTCCATCTTGGTACTTAGTCACCCAAATCGGCTTGGTCGCGAACTGTGCGCGCTTCCTATTGAAGCTGCGCGGACTCATCAACATCATTTGGCTGGGCGCTGATTGTAGTTTGTAAGCGACCGGCTTTCGCGAGATGGGGTTGATGACGTTGTCGTTGCGGATTTTGAAGACGCGGTGCTTCTCGACGCTGGTATCGGCCGTCCCAGACTTGTTCAGCACGGTTGTTTCTGTCACATATCCCACTCCATATGGGTTTGTGACCGGGTCGTCGGCCATTGGGACACTATCCTGATATATCACGGTATTATCGTATCCGTCAATGGATGGGTCAATGCGCAAGGAGAAAATATGTTGATGGAACGCGGCCATGACGCCAGGCCCAACGTTGGTGCCCCAGGGGACGGTGGCGCCATCCGCATTGTCAATAGGCATGGTGGAAAGAATTCCAGTTGCGCGGACTTCCAGCTCGATACCTCCTGCCTGATCGAAGATCCAGGCAAAGATATATTCATAGTTGGAGACCGTGCAAATGATCTGCACGACAAGCTGGCGGTTTCTGACAACAGTAGCCCCGGCGGTACGATAGTTGGTATGTTTGTGTTGAAGCCCGGCATCCTGCTCGTGCAGACAGACTACGTTTTCGAGGGTGACGGGGTTACCCTTGGAGTCGGTTCGACAACCGTTGAAGTATTTTATGTGGCCTAGGCAGTCGCAGCCCAGAGATAACGTGTTGGCTGTAATTCCGAACCCGACATCACCGGCATCGAATGCCTGTTTGCGATGGTACGGAGCTCGAGGGTCTGCAAAATTGTGAAAATTAGCATGACCTGTATATATTATCCGTATGGTTTGGATATCATGACATACCGCCATACGGAACCGTCATTTCGTTTACAGATAGGCGGTAAAAGACGTTGCGCTTATCGTAAGTGATGCCGTACAGTACCAGGCCTTCCCGGGAATTCAAACCAATTCTGAAATCCCATTTCTGCCAGTGGACTTTATTGCCGTTTACGGAGAACGAAGCGCCCTCGGGTTGTTGCACGATGTATGGTTTAAGATCGGTTCTCAGCGGTTCGTTGAGTAGGTCGTGGGCATACTCAACCGCCTTGACTGGCTTCCACGGACTGGTTTGGGCAGTTGAATGGTCCGTCCCAGTTGGGAGGCGGTCTATACGCACGAGTTCCTGAGTGAGGCAATCGAAAACTGGGGAAAATGGGAGTGGCAATGAATAATGATTTGCCTGTGCGTGGTTCGTCTCTGCTATGTACATGTAGCACTGGAAGAGCCTCCGTGTCTCATTTTCATCATCAGTGCCGTAGATCCAGGGGTCATTGAGAACAATGACGCCGGGTGGAAGTTTCAACTTTTCAATTTCGGCGAGCACTGCTGGGTGTTTGAGGCAGAGTTGCTCGATTTCTATTATCTCGTCGACGTCCGCAGGTCCCTGCGGGAGATGTTTAGAATCGATTCACCTTGCAAGCACGCAGGGAAGATTGGTCTCAGAGTTATACAACGTATTATGAAGCAAACCATACCTGTACGTCTTTGGGCAATTCCTTCACCGTGATCACTGCCTTCGTGCTCAGATTAACAAGAGCCTTCAAGAAGGCTTTGGTATCAAGCCTATGAAATAAGGATTGGATAATCCTAGCTGGTTTCGCGGGAAGGGGAGTGCCCAGCCTCTCCGCTTCGAGATATGGCACGACATCTCTCTTGATGGGTTCTTGAACATCGATAATTTGAACCGTAGAGATACCCCAGGAAATGATGCCTGGAGAACCCTCGCCGCAAGACTGACCTCGTCTGGGCGGATAGGGTCAAATGGGTGGGTAGCCATGGCGGTTAGGAAGAAAGGATGGGAGTAAAAACGTGTAGGATGTTCCCCTGGAGATGTAATTACAGTTGTATGAATCGCTCCTGGGATGAGAAGACAGATATACCTAGGTAGTTCACAGTATACTCCCCTTAGAAAGCGTGAGGTCAAAGGATCATCTTATATACCTTGAACTTGCCCCACCCTTCGATTGGATCAGAACCATCAATTACTGTTTTCGATATTTGAGGAGAAACTTCCGTTGGGCCTTGATCCTTTCAGGTCTCGTGGAGATTGTCAAGCTTCCTTTTTACGCCGATCAAGTAAATATCTAGATTCCTAGAGGTGGTTTGATACCGAGATCAGAGGCTCTAGAGAAGATAGCCGAGACGCTGTAGCCGGGGGACAAGCGATGACGGCGGAAGCACATCGGGCCGAGCAAATCGGATCCTTTACTGGTTGAGTGGTGACAACGACGAGGGGTTGGGAGTCTGACCACGAAATGCTCGTTGTCAGGCTTTTCCCCGCATTGTTTGTTTTGGAGAATGTAGAGATGGATCATGGCAGTTGAGGACGGGTAAAAAAAGGAACTGTCGTTTTCAACTCCGTATTCTTCGAAGACGCGGAAAATAACCGCAGGCAAACAAAATCTACAGATCTCGAACAGATTATTCACATGGAATAGCCGCCCGCTGGAATCTCAGCAGAATTTCGGTGCTTGCCATCCATTCACAGCCGTCCTTGAAGCATTTAAAAAGGTCTTTGCTCATAAGTCAACTTCTGTCCGAGCAATTATAATATGAATGAACTGCAACCGCGCAGGTCCTCTTGCTCACACAGCTCAACACAGCTTTATGCAAGCAGCACTCAAAAAAAAGATCCAGCAGCAGATCTGATATCAATTATCTCTAACTCCCATCAGCAAGAACAGTGCCATGAATGCACAATGTTGGTAGATGAGAATGATGTGTGTTGGGATATTCACCTCAAAACTACCTAGCTGACAGAGTTGCAAGATGACAAGTTGCCGTGCGGTGCTATGACTGAATGAGAGAGACCCGACGACTGTTGAAGGATTAGGGTGGGGAAAGGTTCTGACATGGGATCTGACCTGTCGGCAGAAACTTATATATATATATATTTTGAAAAGATGGGTAAACTGTCTGCTTGAGAATCTTGAGTATTTGACGCGACCCCCAGAACGCGTAGGGATCATGCACTGCAGCACTTCTGAAATATGTAAGTTACAGTACTATTATGGCATTTTTGATGCACTCTGATCTCCACTTGTACAGTATTTTCATTTGTGGACCCCTAATATAATAGTGCTCTACTAACAAAAATACTGAGACATCATTGCAGTTTTACAATATTTCAATTTGTAGACTACAGAATGTATGAGTGATGGATGATTCAGAAAAATAACTTTTACCAGCTCAGGAAATATAGTATTTTTTCATCAACATCTTACTTGTGCTTTTCTACTTTGCAAATGAAAAACAAAGGAGAGCAAGAGTTGTTATTAGTAACTAATATATTAATAATCCACATAAATCAGGCCCCAGTAGTCCTCCGTTGTTTCGGCTAGTAGAGCCCCCACTACGATAGTAACTAATAACAAACACAGAGACCAGACCAGCCAGAGCAAGTAGTTACTGCGTAGTTACAGCGTGGAGACTTCGCATCATTTGCAGGCAATTCTCGCTGTTCCAATTGCAGCCATGGCAGCTAACTTCTGAGAGCACTTTCGATGAGGAACCCTGTCCCGTTCAGGCAGCAAGCAAGCCAGCACAGAAATATTAACACGGCCTTTCCATGCTCCCGAGTCCCTGAAAAGAGCAGTAATTAATTGGCTGATTCTCGAGCTCTTCGTGCATTCAAGATTTCGTTGTGATGGAGGTCATCCTTGACCCCACGGCATCGCCTTGGTTATTTGGGCGCACAATCGGCCCAGGGCGAAGAGGCTCCCCAGACGCTCGTTTCACACCGTACGGTGTATGTGACTCTCTAGGCATCCCTTACAGTGAAACGAGGAGAGAATTAGATGATGATCAAGTCCAACGCAGTCAGCATTATTACTATGTATGCACTTTCGGGGTTGTCGGGACCCGGGGCCAAGAATCTGGATACGAGCTAGGTTCGCGCTACCCCGTGCTTAGGCTGCCAAAATTATATCAAAGTCCTGTCACTCCCTCTCGCGAATCAAAAATGTTCTCCGCTGGGTCAGAGGCAACCCCGGGCTGATGTTTGCTTGTTCGGCTTCCAAACAAGCTATCCTGCCGCCGAGATGGACAACAACACCACCCAAGCCGAAGCTGAGAAGCAGCAGTCCGAACCGGAACAGAAGCCTCCATTCAAGAATTTCTGGGTATGGGGCAACCCTTTTCGAGGCATTGCAACCGACGAGCTTTAATGATGTCTTGTCGGTGGGAGATGTTTAGCTAACATTTCCCTTTTTCCCAAAAAAAAAAAGAGAATATTAGGCCATGGAACCCTCCTCGACAAGATTTTAATGGGAATTGCTACACTATGTGCCGCTAGAGCAGGAACGGTACGATGCTCTCCCTGCGCCGTTATCTTGCAGAGATACTTACCGTTATTGAGGCGTTACCTTTGATGAACATCGTATTCGGTTTGTACTCCGGAATTGAGAGAGCTACAGATCGATGAAGTTAGCTGATACCCTTCCCCGTTCAGGCAATGTTGTTAGTAATTTCAATCGATATTTCATCCCTGGTTCAGGGGTCTCCAAAGAGGAGTTTCTTAGCAGCGCGAATGAGAGTGTGTATGTATTCACTTCTTCTTGCTTTGCATATCATCCGGCATCACCTATCAGACGGATAAGGGGATGGTCCGGAGAACGTCCTGGGCTAATACACCCCAGGTTGTATATTGTATACCTCTTTATCGGCAAGTTTCTGCTCGGCTATATTTCAATGGTCAGTGCTCCTAGTCCGCGAACCGGACTACAAAATACAAATTAACGGCATCCAGTTTTGTCTACGAATGACGGGAATCAGAATCTCTGCCCGCCTTCGTCTATCGTATCTCCAAGCTCTCTTCAACCAACCCATTAGCGTTTTTGATACTCTCCCTCCTGGAAGACCAACAAACACAATCACTACCTCTTCAAATACGATACAAGCAGGTATCTCGGATAAATTGGTGATACTTGTTCAATCATTGGCCCTGGTCATAGGTGCTTACTCAGTCGCGTTCCGTTACTCCTGGTCCTTGACATTGGTTGCAAGCGCCTCTATTTTATTTATATCAATAGTATATGGCGCCCTTATTCCGATATATATCAAACTGCAAAAAAAAGTTGAGCAAGCAGACGAAAAAGCCTCGTCGATTGCAGGAGAAGCTCTTGGATCTATTCGTACCATTGTCTCTTGTTGTGCAGAAGGCCGGCTTGCGGCTCGTTATGGAGAATGGGTTGCGGAATCACGAAAACGAGGAATGCGGCTGGCGCCTCAGATCGGCGCGCAGCTCGCTCCGTCAAATTTCGCTATGTACTCCAGCTTCGCGTTGACGTTCTGGTTCGGCGTCAGGCAGTTTGCATCGAAAAATATTCCTGATGTTGGCCCAGTTATTACGTGTGTATTTCCCAATCACAAATGTCCCTTGTTCTTTCGCTTGCTTGAGGTATCTAATGTGCTTGATTCTCCGCTAGTGTTATTTTTTCGGTTCTAATAGTGGTATCAACTCTCTCTTTTGTTGCAACCCCTATCATCGCCGTATCCAAGGCGGTGAGCGCATCTACCTATTTCTTCGAAATGATTGATGCGCCAAAGCCTAAAACATCGGGATTGAAAGATCAAGACGTCGCAACTACCGATATTCGCTTCGAGGACGTGAATTTCTCCTATCCATCCCGCTCCAATGTAAAGATTATCAACAACATGACTCTTGATATTCCAGCTGGAAAAATAACAGCCCTTGTTGGACCTTCTGGTTGCGGGAAAAGCACCATTGTTGCACTGCTTGAGCGTTGGTACCAGATCGAGACACAGTTCGAGGGCGACGCTACACCAAAAAGTCATTCTCCACAAAGTGAGGAGGATCCTCAAAAGGAAAAAGAGCAAGACACAGAAATAACCCCAAATAGTGGGTCGATCAAAATAGGGCCTCACGATCTCTACGACCTGGATCTTAAATGGTGGAGATCCCAAATTGGATTGGTTCAACAGGAACCGTTTACATTTAACACAACCATCTACCAAAATGTTGCTTATGGTCTAGTGGGATCAAGGTGGGAAAATGAATCAGAAGAGGTGAAAAGAGAGCTTGTCAAGGAAGCATGTCGGGAAGCTTTTGCTTCGGAGTACATTGAAAAGCTGCCGCTGGTAAGCTCCATTTTGTCCCATTTGGCCCTGCGATGTTTCTTACGATATATCTTCTTAGGGATATGATACTATGGTTGGAGAGAATGGCTTGAAACTCAGCGGCGGGCAACGCCAGAGACTTGCAATTGCTCGAAGTATCATTAAAAGGCCACCAATTCTCATCCTAGATGAAGCCACAAGTTCGATAGATGTTCGGGGAGAACGCATTGTTCAAGAAGCACTTGACCGTGTATCCAAAAATCGCACAACCATAACCATCGCCCATCGGTTATCTACGATAAAAAAGGCGGATAAGATTATCGTGCTGAAAGGAGGGGAAAGCATTGAGCAGGGAACACATGAGAAGCTGCTGGAATTCAAAGGGTTATACCACTCGTTGGTTGAAAATCAACGCCTGGAAATGGGAGACCAGGATACTGATATCCAAGGCGACGCCCATCCAAAAAGCCAAGTAGAAGATATGCAGACCTTCCTTCAAGAAGCGTCAAGAGTGGACACCGTTGGTGAGCCGGACCAAGAACCTGAACCGACATATAAAGCGAGATCCTTGTTCAATTCAGTCGGGCTGTTCCTTTGGGAGCAGAGAAAGCTCTGGTATCTGGATGTAGCCATCGTCATTGGCGCTGCTGGCTGTGGATGTAGGATATCCCCTCTGGTTATTCATATTGCAAGGCATGATTGTTCTTGTTCATAGATAACTGATTATTGGTTACCTAGCCGCCTTCGCCATCCAAAGCTACATCTTTGCACAACTCACGGCCGTGTTTCAGCTTTCTGGCGATGAGCTAATTAACCGGAGCGAATTCTGGTCCCTAATGTTCTTCATACTTGCCCTTTGCGTTGGACTTTTTTACTTCATTCTGGGCTTCGCGTCAACCAGCCTGTCTGCGGTAAGCTTGCATTTTTGACTTCTGGCCCTTTATATAGCTAATCAGTGTTAGTATATTTGCGGCACATACCGACAAGAATACTTTGAAAACATCATCACGAAGCCGATCCATTTTTTCGACGAAGAAGGAAATTCGACCGGCTCTTTAGCAGCCCGAGTTTCCACCGATCCGACACAGCTCCAAGAGCTTGTTGGCCATCAGATGGCTTTCCCGCTGATTTCCGTATTCAACATTATCGGCTGCATATCTGTAGCTTTTTCCTTCGGCTGGAAATTAACTTTAGTCGCGATATTTTCTGCGTTCCCACTCATTATTATAGCGATGTTTATTCGGGTCAGATACGAGGTACAATTCGAGAAAATGAATGCAGCTGTATTCGAGAGCAGCTCGCAGTTTGCGTCAGAAGCCATTTCAGCATTTCGCACAGTCACCTCTCTCACCCTCGAGGATACTATTACCACCCGTTACTCCAATCTTTTACAAGACCATGTAACGAAGGCTTTCAAAAAGGCAAGATTTGCAACGCTGATCTTCGCGGCCGCGGATAGCATAGAACTTCCATGCATGGCATTATGCTTCTGGTATTTGTCTCTCACTGAATGACCTCAAGAATCAAGATAGCTAACATCTATTTTCAGGTATGGAGCGCAGCTATTGAGTACTTACGAATATGACGTTCTTCGCTTCATGGTTATTTATATCGCCGTGGTCATGGTAAACAGGCACTCTCTCTCCACTCTGAAGCGTTAATATTACTAACAAAGCATGTACAGGGAGGCCAAGCGGCGGGACAATTTGGGAGCGTAACGCCAAGTAAGCCTAACAAGACATTAATATGCGTTTCTGGTTATATATCTAATTATATGAAACAATCAGATATCGCACAAGCCACTGGAGCTGCCAATCGGATATTAAGCGTCAGGCCCTCCCAAGGTAACAATGATGGTGAAAAGAAGACTGTTGGGCGCTTTGAGGGGGGCGCTCAAATCGATTTCAAGTCTATCAATTTCAAGTATCCGACGAGGGATATTACTGTGTTCAAGAACCTCAGTTTCACAGTGCGTATATTCCAACCTCTGACATCATTTTCTACCGACAAGATGACCTAAAGCTAATACCGAACAGATCGAGAAGGGCCAATTTGCCGCCTTGGTTGGGCCATCCGGTACGTTTTCATCGTCTGTAATACTGAAATGCATGAGTGAGACTCACTGGTAGTAGGATGCGGCAAGTCGACCGTTATCGGATTGCTTGAGAAGTATTGCCCCCCCTTCAATCCGCCGTATTCCTTAATTGCCTCATCCTTATAAACAATTTTCTGATTTCCACGTGCTTTGCAGGTTTTACGAATACCAAAGTGGTACCATCACAATCGACGGGCACGACCTCCACACCCTTGATGTGTCCTCCTATCGACAGTCTGTTTCGTTGGTATCCCAAGAGCCAGCGTTATACCAAGGTAAAAATAAAAAATAAAAAATAAAAACATCATTCCTGAAATCTATCCACGGAGGGAACTTTGCTAACAACCTTGTGAAGGATCCATCAAGGACAACGTTTTGCTAGGCGTTGATCCCACCCAATTCACCGACGAAGATGTCCAAAAAGCATGTAAAGATGCGAACATTCATGACTTCATCATTTCACTTCCAGACGGTCAGTAGCAGGGAATCCCACCTACCTACATTACAAGCCCCCGCTCCCCCTCCACAGGATGCTCACAACGTCTATCTGGTAAAATGTAGGCTACAACACCGACGTCGGCCTCCGCGGTTTAGCAATGAGCGGCGGCCAGAAGCAGCGCATATGTATCGCACGAGCTCTCATCCGCAACCCCAGCATCCTGCTACTAGACGAAGCGACCTCCAGCCTCGACTCGGAGTCAGAAAAGCATGTACAAGAAGCCATTGAACGGACTGCTAAGGGGAGGACGGTGGTTGTTGTCGCGCATCGATTAGCTACGGTCCAAAACGCCGATGTCATTTTCGTCTTTGGCGAGGGTGGCATCTTGGAAGTCGGGACCCATGCCAATTTGCTGAAACAGAGAGGTACTTATTATCAAATGGTATGTTTCTTTTTCTTTTCTTTTTCTTTTTTCTTTTTTTTTAATTTTTTTAATATTTTTAATATTTCCATACGCCTTCGTTGTTATGTTCACATCCCCTTTCCGGAAATGGAATGGCTTTGCTAAAAATTCGTCGGGAATGGAAAACAACAGTGCGAATCCCAAGCGCTCGATAGGTAAAAAAGTTGCCTCTAGCTGGAGCAAACACGGATCCTTTCGCGATGGAAGTTTTACCTTCGTATTCATGACCGTAAAATTTTGGATACCCCCTTGACAAAAATATTTAATCACTCCTCTCATCTTTGCTACATCGCCTTATATCTGGATGGCTGACTCGCGTCACCTCCTATTTCTTTTCTCTTCTTTTCTATATTATTTCTAGCATTATATTTAATTCTAGTAGAGTAGAATCTTATAAATTTCAATATCTAATACTAATATAATATCTATCCTGTCATCAAAGGAATTTTTCAGATCTGGATCACAGGTGATGATGCTGGTGTCTGCCTTGAGAGAGAGACGACAAAAAATCGGTAGTTGAAAATGTTTAATAACGCGCCCCTGGGCTGGATGCAGCCTTATTATATATAGACAGGGGGGTATGAAAACGGCACCAATGGCGATCCAGGTGAGGACGACCACGACGACAGTGACGGTGGTGGCTAGGATTTTGGCAATGATGGTGTCCGTGATGATGAAGGGCCATCTACTTCCGGCACATAGGTAGCCCTAGGCAGCGAGTCTGGATTCAGCAGACGCGGCACAGCGATGCGATTCAGGAGAATTGACGAGATACGCGGGTTGCCGTTTACTGCACATCGAGGATGTTGATGATAAGTCTGCTTGCCGTTCTCCGAACCATTCCGAGATGACGTTGCGGGAATCTTGGCTAGCAATGGAAGGGCCCTCTAGAGGAACTAGCCGACAGGGTTTGAAGTAGTATGTAGGTGTATAGGTTATCAAGCATCTCCATCTGCAGTGGAGAGGATCCACCTGAATGCCCAGTTATACACCTTCCATCCGATGCTCCATGGGATCAGTGAGCTTCACAGGAACCGGCTTGCCATACCGCAACACAAATTTGGATCCATTGTGGAAGGCTTCGATGAGTCGAAAAGAACCGGGGCGAACGGAGAGGAGGAGGATCTGGTTCATTAATGTCAATCAGCATTGTTCGGCGGTATGATTTATAGCTCTTAAAGTTGAGTAGTGTTGTTATATGAGATAGATGGAAATACTGGACTGTACATGTACATGTACATGCTCGCACCGGAAGGACCTGATAACCTCTATCGAAAACGACCTTGTTTTTCCACCATGTCACGCGAAGGATAGTCATCAGCTCGCCTCGTAGAATCGGCGCCTGCGATTCAGTGACATGGTATGAGGTGATAATTGTATGAGGGACACCGCTGCGGCCCCGCATCAGCGGCGCCCGCCATTCATATCTTTCGCCCACTGGCCTGGTACCAACAAACTCATGAGGCATCCCAACGCCATGCCAGCGCCTAAATAAGCGGAATTAGTCTATTAGTTCTCGAGGAGTCATGGGGAAAGGGCGGGGCGGGGGGAAAAGGGTGCTGACTCCGTCCATCAAAAACACACCTTTCATCATGCCATCCGCCATTACTCAAATAGTGTTGCGGTGTGGGTGAGGTTGGAAATGTCACCTTCAACAGTTTCACAGTATTCCCAAGAACTCTTCTCCTCTTCAATGCGAGCGAGGAGATACAGGATACTCAAACTCGTAGGAATTAAAGTCCGCAAGAGACATCTTCTGGAAGAAGATGGGCGCGGTGTCCTCCAGAATGTCAAAGTACTCTTCGATGAGAGCGTCTTCTGTTTGAAAACGGCAGCTTCTGGAACGAGAGACTAGTCGATATATCTGAGTAATCTCATCGCACAGGTCGGTCGATCGCTCTCACAAATGCATCTCCAATGTCTCTGGGGACCTTGTTCTGTTTGGCAAGAATGTCGGTGACTCTACAGGCGCGCTCGAATTCCAGCTTCCCGCAGAGGAGAGGTGTTTCAGAGGATTTCTCTATCAAGTGCAGTGCCGCAGGTAGAGAGAATGACCGAATGACGCGAAAGCAATCTGGTAACTATAGATAAGTACAGCGTAAGTAACTATGCAGGAGATGTTTAAGATGTCTTGATGTGCTGGTTTTTAAATATGCTGTCCTGACATTACTAGTTACAAGTTGTCTGATCATTGCAATATCTTCCAGCAAGAAGAGCCATCAATTGGCAAAGGGTAGATATTGTAACTCAATCGAACTTAATTATCCAACCCCTTCCCTACTCATATATGCACTGAGTCAGTTTTATTTATATTTGTGATTTTGATGTTTAAATTTTCACCAGATTCCACTTCACATTCAACTAAATATCTCATGTTCATATGTTTCATAGTAGTTATCACAACATATATAATTATCAGAAATGTAATATTAGCAAACCCTGATATCAGTTGTAAAGATACATGTCTTGCTGTAAATGAAATACAATTAACTACTAACTTGCCATGTTATATATGTATGTTCTATCAGTGTGGATTGATAGCAGCTATCAAACTATCAAACTCTTGAATCTCTCTCACCTAACTACATGTATTTAAATACATATACATGCACAGTTTATAATTCCAAGAGACAGAAAAATGAATAACTATATATGTGGAAAATCATAAGTTACACATGCTCAACAACTATCCTGTCTTATCATCATTCTCCCCTTCCCCTTTTCACTACTACAGATGTCCCAACAAATATCACATCTCCCTTCTCTCATAACCAAATTCTTTACTCCTTACACCCTCCCCCTCCTTCAACCCCACCACACCCAAAAGCAACAAATAACTTTTTAAGAGTATACATACATCCTCTCCTCCGAAACGATTAGAAACAAAGCCAACCCCCCCACCCCCCTGTCTCCCTCACTTATTAACCCCCCCTTTCTTTACCCAGCCTGATAAACCGCCGGCCCCGCCACAACATGCGGATTAATCAAACTCAAATTAAACGGCGTAAGGAACGGATTCGAATCCGTAAGCGCAATGAAAATCGTCCCGTTGATCGCCGGGTCGCCCTCGTACGTCGAGAGGTCTGGTTGTATCGTGAGCCCGCTCCCTGCAGCACCACCACCACCACCACCGCCAGTAGTCCCGTTATCACTAACCTGCCGGGGATCTAGGAACTCTATGCGGCCGTGGGCCCTACGGCCACTACCACGACCACCACGACCACCACCGCCGCCGCCGCCTGTGGTTGAATTAGTCGCGTTCCCCACACCTCCACCCATCATGACCACATCCGTTAGCGGCGAATACGTCACATTCAGCTGCGTCACCCACGCCACAAACGCCGGCGGGCCCGCCGCGCTGGAATGCGTGACATAGCCATTGCCCGGGCCGACAGGTTTTCCCGGCGCCTCCCACTGCAGGCGCACCGGGCGGCCCGGGCGGGAGAGCGGGATGGAGCGGTTCTGCGTGATGGCTGGCCCGCACTCGGAGACATTGCAGCGCTGCCGCGGCGGGATCTCGGTGAAGTTCGCCGAGTTGAGCCAGGGGCCCAGAGTCTCGTTGACGGCGGCGGAGCCGTTGGTGCGGAACGGGTTGGGCTGGCTGAGCACGCGCAGCGCGGGGAAGTTCTGCCAGACCAGCCGCGACTGGTTGGTTGTGGGGCACGAGGCGATGTAGGGCGCCAGCAGGGACCAGGCCCACGACTGCGGGATGCCGACTTCGAACCACACGGGCATGGGGAAGAGGCCTTCGAATTGACGGAAGATTACCTGCTGGCGGGCCGTGACGGTTACAGAGCGTAGGACCAGAGCGGCTGCTTCGCGCGAGGTGAGGTGCGGGAGGAAGCCGTAGACGCCGGCCTCGTTGTTGCGGATGAGTTTCTGGGAGAAGTCGAGCCATTCGCGGACGTCGGTGAAGTTTGGATAGTTGTAGTTGCATTGCTTGGGCGCGGCGCGGCCGAGGATGTTGGTGAGCATCGTTGCGTGGCCGACTACTTGCTCGCTCATGAAACTAATGAGATAGCGGTCTTCGCTGGACAGGTTGGCGTTTGTCAATTCTTTTTGGGAGAAGTGGGATAAGCCGTAGTCGAGGAGATCGAGCTCTATCCATTTGAAGTACAGGGCGAGCGCCTAGCACATCCATATCAACTGCGTTAGATGAGTGTCTTATGCTCCCGCGTGATTTGCAGAGACATCTCAATGAGGGGGAAAAAAAGAAAAAGGAAAAAGAAGGAGGTGGCGAGTGTAAACACGTACAAGAGATTGGAAATCATAGTCACTCTTCGCATTATAAACGGGCATTGTGCCATTCGTCCCAAGGCCGCCTCCGGGGACGTATGGAGCAGGCTGGGGATCATGAAGCCGTCCATCGCTAGGATACGTTGTTGCATTTGCCGGAGCAGGCTTGGGCGAGATAGCCGTCCCCAAAATGGCCGTTCCCGACAAAGCGCCAGTAACAGTTGGTGTGCCTGTGAACGAGCCACGGGAGACATCGATGCCGGTGACTGTTGGAACCGATGCAGGGACCACGATGCCATCTGCATACGTGATACTCCTTTGTGCTGATACCACGATGATGGCGTAAGCGCTCGCAAGGAGCCCTATGACCGTTTGTTTGAGAGACATTGTCGTTGGTGTATATAGGGGGTTATAATGACCTTGGTGTCAGGATGGGTAGCAGCAGTAACGGAAAGAAGTGCTTGGGGGTATAGATGATCAGGGAGGGCTTGTTTTCAACTTAATACGGCCATGAAAAAGGGCCATATCGCTAATCCCGAAAAAGCCAAAAATCCTGTATGATTTGAATGGGATGGATGGAGGGGAGGCGAAAGTTGAAATGAGCCATGCCTAGCACAACTCCCTTAGGTGAAGAGGTAGATGTACTGTACAATCGGCTGAACAGTTCAACGTAGCCCAATGATGCCATCGTATTCCAACCTATGAACGCATAATGAGCCAAAGAGCAGGACACAACTCCGGTGAACTCCGGATCTCGTTAATTGAGTTCTACATGACCCAGTAGAGTGCAGCCGTAGCTTTCATAGTCAGCGATACAGCAATGGCTTGTCCGCGCGTCGAGCTTGGTCTCATCTTCCGTATAGAATTCACAAAATAGATAGCCCTGCATGTCAAGGGGTTAATTGGTCATAGTCGCGGTGATTCGAGCTTTCCCTAAGGGGTCTCCAATCGGACTATCATGGTTTCCCCCGGCTAACCGAGGAGACCCCTCCAGCCTCCAAGAACAAAAAGGGAAGAAAGCTGTACTGTTTGATTAGATAAACTGAAGTAGGACTGCTGTGTACTGCCTTATTTTAAGGATTCTTGCAGCAGACTTCCGGGTAATCTGCACGCTTTGGACGCATCTTGATACGATAGATCTGGAAAAGTGCGCCAAAACAGTCGATCGTGAGCTGGGGGTGACGTAGCTTGAAACCTTAAGTGCGATAAGCTTATCGGATTCACAAAGGACAAGCCCGTAGACGGGCTGCTATCAAACCTTAAATTGTGCGTAGCATGCACGCCCAAAAAGTAAGGAGATTAAGTGTGTTAGCTCATAAAGTCAAAACAGGAAAAAATATATATATATATATATGTATGTACTGTACATGTATATGCATATACCTGTATAATGGGAGGGATATGTACCCATGTATGTAAAGAAAAACAATAACTAAAATTCATCAACCAAAACAGATGCCTGAATATGATATCATGGTTAAATCATTGTATAAGTAATTTGCGCCTTTTTTCTTTTTTAGTCATGTATGTGGGGTAATATGATAGCCAAACAGAACTCAGATGAACAATCTCAAAAAAAGAAAGTGTCAAAAATATACGAATCAAAAGTCGAAAATGAGATTGGAGGTTTAGGGGGGGGGAATGTAAACAGAGCACACCTCTACTCTACTCAAGAAATATTGCTCCCCAAATCCGCCTTCGGCGGTGGCAACATCTCTTCGGAAAGCCGTGCCGGTGAAATAACATCACCCATCGAGTCACCGCCGTTCTCATCACGATCACTAACATCACTAACGTCACTAGCAGCAGCAGCAGCGGCGGCAACGGCGGCCTGCTTCTCGTTCACAAAAATCATCGGGCTCGTCCGCTCGAAATACGACAGGACATGCGCGTGCTTAAGGCCCTCATCCAAGTCTTCCCCTTCAAACTGCAGCTCCTCCGCGGCCCGGCGCGCCATGAGCGCCTCCCAGTCCCCGCGCATCTCGTCGACTTTGCGCTTATAGTCCAGATCGGCGTCGTAGTACTTGCCCGCGCCGCGGAAGCGTTCCCAGAGCGACAGATGCTTCGGGTGTACGGCGGGGCCGTGGTATTCGCTCTCGCGCCCGCTGCGGAGGTAGTGCCAGCGGCGCTCTTGTTCCTTGAGGTCCAGCCCTGTGGTATCTGGGAGGAAGAGCCAGGTGATGACCATCCCTGCCAGGCCGAACCAGGGGACGACGTAGAATTTGGTTTGGGTGTCGATGTAGTTGTAGAGGACGGCGGCGAGGAGGGCACCGAGCTTACCAACTGCGGCGGCAAACCCGTGGGCTGTTGCACGGATGGGGGTGGGGAATACCTCTGCTGCGACGAGGAAGGTGACTGCGTTGGGCCCGAATTGGTTGAAGAAGCTGCTGAGGAAGTACATGGCCTGGAATGCGTGGATGTGTTCTGGGGAGGTGTAGTATTCGAAGTTGAAGGCGGGGATGATGAAGAAGATGAAATCCATTAGGAATCCGACTTGCTGCATCCTTTTTCGGCCATAGAGTTTGTTGTCGATGAAGAAAGCTGTTGAATTGCCATTAGCAAACGGATAAAGGGAGGATGACAGGGTCTAGTTGATCGATCGCACATACCAGCCATATAATATCCCACAAGCGAAACGCCAACGTTGATCAGGTTATATAACCAACCCGGCATAATCGAATTAGAATTCGGACTAATGACAGCAATAAACTCACTCTGGAAGAGCTTATTACCGTAAAAGAACACATCATTTGCAAACCAACTACCTGCGGTAGCTATTAGACGGGGGCCAAAGTATTTGAAAGCCAGAACCAGAGACTGGGTGTCGTAGCCTGTTACTTTAGCCTTAGCCTTGGCAATCGACAGCTGTTTGCTGGCTGCTTTCATCTTGAAGTAACGGTAGTAAACTAGCCAAAGGGTGCCGACAGCAGGGATGGCGAAAGAGACACGATAAGTCCATTGGGCGGCCACGGTCGAGTAAGGCGGGTTCCCGCTACCGTGGTGAAAACAGAGGAGGAGGATAATCAAGAGGACCTGGTTGAAGAACTGGCCCCAGCCTTGCATCAAAAAGGCGCTGGTCACTTTGCGGCCACGATGGAGTCGATCCTCCTTGTTGGAGACTCTGCCAGAACCCACGGCGTTTTCCATCCCACTGGTAGCTGTCATTGGGTATTCTCCTCCTATATACACGGGATTTATTAGACAAACGATATAATCATTTTTCCTCACGATCTAAAGCTGATAATACATACCGACTCCTATACCGTAGAAGAAGAGGGACCAGACATAGCAGATAACCCAGCCATTTTGGGTGACGCCCCAGGCCGCAGTGATCATCACCAGCCCGAGAAGCATGATAACGGCATCTTGGATGAGGCCAAATCGTCGTCCAACCCTAGATGGAGTTAGTAAAAATCGAATGTATATATGTGTATGAATATATTTTCATAACTAATTCATACCAGTCACCAATGATGCCAACTATTATCTGGCCGACAATGATTCCGCAAATCTCCAGATACTCCACGGCGGCAATCCAGGTGGGATTGCAGATTTCCTTCGTGGCCCAACATTCCGGAAACGCCCTTTGGAACAACGGCTTGATATTCCCAATGGAAAATAGAACGTATCTACATGGCCAAGAGGAAGTTAGTTAGCTTCGTCTCTTTTCGGGAGTCAATGCTAAGCAATGCCCAGCATTCCTAACCCAGCCGCCAAGGGCTGGGCAGTCCGGTCTCATGGATAAACGACCCACTCAACGGGCACTAATGGCACTCACCCTTCAAGTCCCAGCCCAGCGCCCGGAAGCACCATGTTTCTAAAATAGTACGCGACGGGGGCCAGCGGGTCCTGCTTGAACATTGTCCAGAAGCCGGCAAACTCCCTAGCGGCCTCCGCGGCGTCATATTTGCAGACGAAGGCGATGCGCCGGTACAGGGGCAGGTCGGCCCAGTACACGCCGTCCGGGGTGTAGCTGTCGTTGGGGCGGATGTAGGCGTCAAAGGCCTCCTTTTCACTCAGGTTCATGTCATGGTGGTTGTACGTGGGGGGGATGGGAGGCGAGGAGGAGGAGGAGGAGGAAGAGGAGAGGTCGGAGCCAAAATCGGCCATTGAGTTGTCTCTAATCTATATGTATAATGTATATATAATGTATATACAGGGCTTGACTTAGATTTCTGGAGATCCTACTGTAGGCTGTATAGAGAGAGAGAGAGATTGTCAGCGGGGTAGCCAAGACAGACATAAAAATACAGCCAACAGCCCATCCACGTTGACCGTCTCAAGGTTGTGAGTGGTGAGTCGTTGGCAGGAGAATGAGACTCACTGCAAAACAAGCAATGCCAATGCTAGTCCGGCGCAGATCACACCAGGGATGTCAATTCCGTCAATCCCTAGTTATATCTTCTTCTTCTTCTGCTTCTGCTTCTTCTTCTTCTTCTTCTTCTTCTTCTTCTTCTTCTTCTTCTTCTTCTCCTTCTTCTTCTTCAACCAACTCTCTCGTCGCAGCACACGCGGAGACACGGGGAGATGGTGAGAGAGGGGGAGGGAGATGGGAGGGAGGTAGGATAGGAGTATGAAGAAAAAAAAGTTGTATAGCCCTTCCCTTCTATGTGATGTAGCGAGCGAGGAGGAGAGAAGAAAGAAAGAAAGAAAAGAAAGAAAGAAGAAAGAAGAGGGAGAAGTAAAAGAAGCCCAACCCCACACCAGGCCGGGCATCCACCGTATCATTACCATTTATTACTACTGTATAGATACATATATATACATGTATATACATATATAACTATATAACTATATGAGGATATCCGGAAAATGAAACAGGTCTCCAGTTTTCCGTGCGGGTGTCGTCGTTTTCCAGTATATAACTTCTTCTGGGCGGGAAGGTTCCAGCGCGGAGGAAAGAGGGTCCACAGTCGGTCCGGTCCACGGGTGGGGGGGGGGGGGGGGCGATGGAGGTCTGCGCTGGCCAATCACAGCCCTGCATCCCGTCACGTTGTGCAACCGTTGCTCCTGTTGAGGAAAGGCGGGCCCCACCATTTTCCCGGCTGAACAAAAGTGGGTTCCTGCTCCTTTGTTGGGACTAAGCCCTATCTACGTAGTAACATCCTCCGTATGGAGTATGGAAGTATGGAGTACTTATACATACAGATACATACAGATACGAGGTTATAACTAAGTATTAAGATACTACATAACAATACATGGTTGGATGGAACTGAGACATTTCACCTAGGTAGATATACTGGTGGTATGCGTACCAGTTGTTGGCAGCTGTACGCGTCGTCGGAGGCGCAGCCCCGCTCGGGCTGACCGAGTATACGAGTATACATACATACATACATACATACATACATACATACATACATACATACATACATACATGCATGCATACATACATGCATACATCAGCCGGGAATTATATAGATTAGTTATCTCTTCCCTGCCGAAGATCATCTTAGATCGAAGTCTATCACTATCTATCCACCTATATTCCTATTACTTCCACGTCCAACCAGCGGGAATTGTATTTATTGTTTATACAGTCATCTATCTATCATCAATACCTCTATATCAGATAAATCAGAAATGGGGAGCTGACTGATCTACTCTAATAACAGAACATATACATACATACATACAATACACCAAGAGGATCGAGTGATTGCCCACTTCCAAATTCCAGAAGTTCCCGAGGTCTTGTTCCTGTGTTCCTGTGTAACGTGTAACGTGTGCACGAAGCTGATGGCCTACCTGAATTTTATTTTTTATTTTTATTTTTTTTCTATTTTCATTTTTGGCCTTGTTTCCTAAGCCAGCCTTTGCTGGGAAGAAAACAGGAATGAATAGAAAAGAAAAACAATTGATTTAAAATCAAATCTATCAAATCTAATATACCTCACAACAGGCTGTAATTGCACATGCAAAACGATATGAAAAACACCTCCCCGGACTAAGAGACACAAGCTCATTCGACCTCAAAATGGCAACCGACCCCTATATCGAATCAAAGGGCTCATCTACTATATCATATCTCTATCCTGATCTCCTCTACTATATCTCTCTATCCTCATCCCTCATCTCCACCCCATCACCACGAGCCCGCCTTCTTCAAAAACCGAAACGCCCCTCCTTCTTCTTCCCCGCTCACCTCCTCCAGAAACGAAACAAGCCCCAACTGGCCCGCGAGCTCCCGCACCATCTCAATCGCCCCGCGGATCTCCGGCCCCGTGATGCCCAGATTCCGGCAGCCGAAGAAGTGTCTATTTCCCACCATCATCACAGTAAGAAATTCGTGGACGTTAGCCAAATCATTCTTAACCCCAACGCCGATATATATATATATATATATATCATCAATTAATAGAAAGAAGAATGAAGAATAAATTAAAAAAAAAAAAAAAAAAAAAAAAAAAAAAAAAAAAAAAAACTCACCCCTTCGCCTGCGCCCCAACCACATCCGCCAAACAACACACAAACTCCAGCAACACCGTCTCTCGCCCGTCCAGAATCCGCATCTCAGCCATCAACTCGCCATAGATGCTCGACACCGCGAAATAGCTCAGGTCGCCCGCCGAACTCGCGCTCATCGACGAGAGCACCCGCTCCGTGTGGTTCGCGTAGATCTGCGTGAAGAAGTGCTTGCCGCGTGCGTAGCGGGCCTCAGCGCTCGGGAACGTCAAGAGGCTGCGCAGGGGTTTGTCGGATTTCAGGGTTGTGTGGATGGCTGGCGCGGTGTGGGTGGTGAGCGAGGATTGGAGGGCGAGGAGGCCGTTTATGCCCTGGTTATTTTGGTTGGTTAGGTTTTTTTTTTTTTTTTTTTTTTTTTGTGTGTGTGGGCGGGGGGGGATTGAAATGTGAAGGTTATATATTATCTTATATGATGAACCGTAACAAAGGGGGTGAGGGTTAGGAGGAGTTGGGTGGGTAGGGCAATAAACAAAAAAAAAAAGAAAAAGAAAGAAAAAAAAAAGCTCACCCGAGGAAATCCAACCAGTACACTCGCCTTCAAACAGCTCTCTCTTATCCGTCTCGCAATGCTAAGCTGCCTCGTTGTGGCATCTACTCCCCCAATCTCTCCCTCGCTTTCGCACCGTTGGCTGATATACTTCCACAGCTCGCCCACGGCCGCCTCCTTATGGAAGGCTAGCAACGCAGCGGTCGCGACGATGTACCAGAGCGAATTTACGCCAGTGGCGCTTTGGTCGGGTATAAGCGTGGAGAGGCGGGTGAAGTCGATGCTGCCGGCCCGGCCGCTGGGGGATGTATGTTTTGATGTTTGGTTTGTGGTATCGTTAGTGGTGTTTGAGGGTGATGATGAGGGTGATGGTGAGGATGAGGATGATGATGATGATGGTGATGACGAGGGAGCCGTGGCGGACGAAAAAACGGTTGCTGAGGTCGAACATGATCTCCGATGATGTGTTGCAACACCTTCCCGTGCCCTGGCCGACAGCGAAGGGGAGAAGGGGTTGTGGGCACCACCACTACTACTACCACTACTACTATTCCTTGGTATATGCGCCGCCGATTCTTGTTCTTGTTGTTGCTGTTGTTGTGACGTCAATACTGTCTGCCGTTCTAAATGTCCCCAACCAACAGACACTCGACCCCCAGCAACATCCCCATCTCTCACTCGTGGCTGACGCTGACCGGACGAAAAGGCCATGGCGCATTTCCGGTACAGCGCCATGAGGCTCCGTAGATATTCGTGCATATCGAACTCCTGGAGCGTGCGCGTGCGCATACAGCTATTCGAATGTACGATTGCCTTTCCTGCTACTGCTCCTGCTCCTCCTCCTCTTCTTCTTCTTCCCATAGCAGTAGCAGTAGCAGCTCCAGCCTCAGCAATTAAGCCGCAGCTATTATAAGACCGTGCCGATGCGTAAATAAGTCTGTGTACACGCATAGGCACATGTACATGCACACCATGTACACCATGAAGAGCCGCAGGTGTAGGAGCGGTGGATACAGCATTAATAACAGTAGGAACAGTGCCAAACTGCCTTCCTTGCTGTTTCGCGCCCACGCTCTTTATTAGCCGTGGTGGTAGTGTTGGTAGCAGCTGTAGTAGCCGCCCTCCCCTGGCCGGACGCAACGTCCGAACGAGAGGCGGAGGAGGAAGCATCATAAACAATAATTTTTGGCCGTGAGTGTATAGAACTTCCTTCTCCCGAGTCCCGACCGGAAAGCCGAAGCCAGGAACTTTGCTAAAGGATGAGCCGACCGGCCTGGCTAGCTGGCTAGCTGGCTGGCCTCAACAGGTTTTTGATCGCCAGTAGTTACCCCTTCTAACAAGTCGGGCCCCCGGCCTGGTTTCTTCAAACGCGCATGCACCCCCGAGCGGCACCGACCCCCGCGCGGGCTGAAGGGAGAGAGATAGCTGGAGCTAGCAGCTAGGAGCTGGAGATGGTGAGGGGAGCAGAAAACAATCTAGGGATCATCCATCTGATCCCGCAATCATATCATCATCAGGTCAACAACAATGAATGAATGAATAACGAATAACTAACCGATACGAGCGAATGGCTTCCTTTTTCCTTCCTTCCAATAATTCCCGGAACTAGCTAGCAGCTGCACTGGCCGAACATGTAGTTAAGTTACATGTACATGTACATGTACTCCGTATACATACTTAATTTGTCAGGTCACGTGATCTGGCTTACTAATCCTTCCACCATATAACTTTCCACAAGCTAGCAACCTTTCAATCACACAAGCTTTACACCTTCCACAGGTTATGAGACCTGTTTTGTGCAAAATCACTGCCAATTCGGGATTCCTTGTCAATATAATCATTATTTGAACTACTGCTTCATTCAATACACTTATCAGGAGTTAAAATCATCTTATTCTATCAGTATTGATGCATTTGAGATCTTGATAATTAATAATACTACTACTCACTTAAAAAAAAAAAAAAAAAGAGGCTTGCAGAAAACACATCACATTTGCAAAAAAAAAAAAAAAAAAAAAAAAAAAAAGCAAGAAAAAGAGAATAATATTGACAAGAATTCAATAAATAAATATTAAGATAATGAATTTAATATAATCTCACTTATATATATATTTAGAATCTCATATTCTTTTCACTGATCAGTTGATAATGATAATTCTTTACACTTATACTCTGTCAGTGAACATTCTTCTGAAGTCTTTGAAAGCTTTATTAATGAATACTCTGAAACACTCTCTTGATTTAAAGCTGGTTTAAATACAGCTTCTGATATGATCAGGCTGATCTTCTAATCTACTTAACAGCTTGATAAAGCTGATTCTCATGAAGTTAATAGTTCAGATAAGATAATATCAGATCAACAGATAAAGCATCTTAAGATAATATTTAAAATAAAGAAGAAGAAGTAAAGAGTTCTAGAACTTAAACTATAACTGAAAAAACTCTGTTAACAGAGATTCTTATTCTCTACAGATTAATCACAGAATGTTAATAATTATTCTATTATTACATCAACAGCTTGTACAGTCACATAAGATTCTAATCTTAGTGAAAGATTGAAATTCAATCTTTATAAACTGAATAGCTGTGTTGATAAGACAATCTCTCAATTCAAGAAAGATGTTAAGAATACTGTGAGATTAAACAGTCTAACTAATACATTTAATTACATCACATTGTAAGAGACCTACACTGAATAGATTGATATAATATATAGGTCTTATATAATAAAGAGAAAAACATTAGAGAAGAAAAGAAAAAGAAAGTGTGAAAATTAATAATCAGAGTGAATATTTATACACATATGCAGTGATATACATAGTGAAACTTCAGAGTGAAAGAATAGAGGTTTTTATACATAGTAAAGCTTCAGAGTGAAAGAATAAAAATTTCATAGATTTTCAGCTGAGAATCAGTGACTGAGAATCAGAGTGATAGAAATCTATGAAGTGTAATAAAATAGTCTATATAATTGATTGAGTACAGTCTGCTACATTAGTCTCTCTCTTCTTTCTTAATTATACATAGCTCTTATCAGTCAAGAGCCGTAGTCTCAGATAATGTAAAACTCAGAGTTCAGATTGAGTAATTGTAACTGACTTATTTCACAAGATATTATCAGTCACAGCTGCAGAGTCTCTTATTAAGAATATCTTTAATCTCTCATTCAAGTTTGTTATCTTCTTCTATAATTTCTGACAGCTGTCAGTTGAAAGTCAGTTGAGAAGAGAACAGATCAGTGATAGTACAGCAGAGTAAACTTATATAAAAGATATTATAAATCTCTAATAATATGTTAAGATAATAGTTATAACTGTCTAGAACTTCTATCACTTTATACTTTGTATAATAATAATTCAGTGTGTGAGATGAGCATGTAATCTGTATATTCTTAAAATTCAATTATATTAGATCTTCTATCTTATATTGTTTAATAAGATCTTAATAAACATTGATTCAATCTTCTTAATTCTGTTTAGTGCTTGCTATAAAGACTTCTGCTTAATCACAGACATCTCAGAGTTTTATTACTATATTATCAGTAATCTGAATTAAACTGTGAGAGTTCAGTGTGAAATGTGTGATCTCTAGAAGATTCAGTACTTTTATATAATATTTATATATAAGAAAGAATGAGCTTACATCTGTTGAAACAGCATCTCAGTCATTAATAGTGACTTCAGTGTGTAGAAGAAGATCATATCAATTATCTTATAAGTAGTTATAGAACTTACAGAGATAATTCTTTATAGTCTGAATTATTTATTCTGATGCATTATCAGTCTCAGAGTGATAGACAGTTAACAGATAGTGTATAATCTTGAAAACTTGACAGATTCTTGTTTAAGGAGTACTCATGAATTAACAGCTCTGATCTGATACTATAGATCTCAGTAATTCATACATTTAATAGAATAGACTTCTTAGAAAAGCTTCAGTAACTTGTTCAGTATTTATCTTGTTATAGAGTTTTAATATTACACTCTTACTCAATCAGTTTATGATGATCAGAATATTTCTACAGTTCTTACTCTCAGAGAGATCAATAGTGAAGTTAATTATCATATCTTATCAGATTCTATCAGAGATATTAAGCAGTTTTAACAGATCTTTTCTACAGTTTCTTTATAAGATGATAGAGAAATAATAGTTACAGTTTCAGATGAAACATCTGATACTGTTTAATATCTCAGATCAGTAGAACTTCTGAGAGATTATTCAATACAGTTATTCATAATCTGAATAGCTAGTTATATAAGAGTCATACATCTCTTGTATTATTCAGATGTATAAGAGTTCAGAGTGAGAAACTCAGTATTATTTATAGAATTATAGAGTATTATTATCATTGATTGAATATTCTGAGATATCAGTTCTTATACATAGTTCTGAAGAGAATCAAGGTGCTTCTTAATATACTGCTTCAGTGAGTACTTGAAGAAGTTCATCAGTTTGAGCTGTTACATGCCATAATTCATTCAGTGTAGAAGTTAAGATATCAGTGTCAGTATCAGTGTCAGTGTCAGTGACAGTTCAGAGAGAAGGTGTTCTAATCAGAGAAGTATGTATAGTGTCATAAGTTATTTCATCTTGATCAACTAATATCTTCAGATCTAGAAGCTGATATTCTCAGTTTATTCAACAGATGTCTGTTATATTGAAAGATATATCTTACTCTCATTATAAGAGAGTATCTGTCATCAAGTTCTGACTGCTGAAATAGTAGTGTATTATAAAATGAAAGCAGCTTAAGAACTCAAATCATTATATCTGTTATTTAATGAGTTTGTAGATAGTTGTGAAGTACTTGAGATTCTTATAATCTGTGATTATCTCAAATTCAGAGATACTTCAGAGTTCAGAGTCTCATTCTTCTAGACAGTGTACAATTACAAGAAGTTTCTTATCATAGATCTCATAGTTGCATTCAGTGAGACTCAGTTTCTTAGATATGAAAATGCATGATTATAAGATATCTTCATTATCATATTATAATATAGCTCTCTCTGTAACATAGTCAGAGAAGTCAGCTTTAATAACTATTTCATAATCAGAGTCAAATATCATTAGCAGAGAAGTATTAATAAACATCTTCTTTATCTGTGTAAATACAGCTTTGATATTCACTAATCACTGAAATACTGAGTTCTTTCTGATAAGTTCTGTAAGTGATCTCATAATATCTGAGAAGTTTTACATAAATCACTGATAGAAGTTAGTAAATCTGATAAAGCTTTATACATCTTTCACAGTACATGAAGCTTTTCATTCAAGAATAGCAGAGACTTTCTCAGAATTCATTTGAATTCTCTTGCCAGCTTCTATGATAAAACCTAGATATTTAATACTCTTGATTTCAAAGTCATACTTATTAATATCTATTGATAGTCTTGCTTCTTATAATTATTATAATACTCTTTGTATATGTTCTTGATATTCTTTTCTGAACTTATCAGTGAAGATAAGAATGTTATCAAGATATACAGATACAAATTTATCAAGAAAATTCTGAAGTACTCAGTTAATATACTTCTGAAATGTACTGAGAGCATTGATCAGTTTAAAGAGTGTAACTATTCATTCAAAGAGATTATAACATATTCAGAATACTGTAAGTCATTCATCTTCTTCAGTAATACAGATTTTATAAAACATGATAATAATATCTAGTTTTATAAATTATTGAGCTTGTCTGATGTGAGCTAGAGTTTCATTGATAAGAGATAAAGAATAGTAGTTCTTCTTGATTAATCTATTCAATTCTCAATAGTTCACATAGAATCAGAGTTCTTCATCTGATTTCTTTGCAAAGAGAATAGAAGCTGCAGTAAAAGAGTTACTAATATATATGAATTTCTTATTCAACAGATCATTGAGTGTCTTCTGAAGAAGAAGAAGTTCATCTCAAGACATATTATAAAGAAAGTCTCATGATAACTCAAGATTCTTATCATTTTTCTTTTCTAACTTGATACTGTGATCTACTTCTGAGTCTTATAAAGAGAGTATATTCATAGTGTTATCTTATCAGAAGATATCTAGATATTCATGATATTATTAAGAGAGTTTTGTATGAGAATCTGTTATTATAGTATGAAATAACTTCTCTAGAGCTTTCTTGATATTAGTCAGACTGATAAAATAAATTGTCACATAATTCTGCTATCAGTGATTTTTTCAGTGACTTTCTTTTCAGAGTATTTTATAGACATTGACAGAGATCTGTATCAGATTCATAGTCTTGTGAATATTATCTTCATGAACTCTATCATTGTTAGAGAATATTAAGCTTCTGTTTCAAGTGTTCAATAAGATGTTTTATTCAGATAGTCAGATCAGTTCTAACATAAGATTATAATCAAGATTATTAACTTCATATATATAGGCATCTTCACATTGATGTTCTCTGACATCTATGTTCAACTTTATCATATAACAGATATAAATGTCTTTTGAGTCATCAAATTCTGTGAGAAGTTGAGGTTTTAATAAGAGAATATACTGAAGATTGTAATATCTTACAACTGAAGATTTAATCATTGTATAATGATTAAAAAGAAAGTATTCTCATCTATAATACAGCTGAAACTAGGACATGGCTATTTCAAATCTTATATACAAAGATTTGATGATAGATTTGACTCAATAGAATGCTCATTCTGCAATACAAATGAGAATCCTGA